CAGTATCATCATCATCATCATCATCATCATCATCATCATCATCATCATCATCATCATCATCATCATCATCATCATCATCATCATCATCCGCATCATCATCATCATCATCATCATCACCAGCATCATCATCATCAGCATCATCATCATTACCATCATCATCCGTATCAGCACCATCAGCAGCAGCATCATCATCACCAACATCATCATCAGCAGCAGCAACATCACCATCAGCATGTCGTCATCATCATCATCAGAATCACGTACACCGCCACCACCACCATCATCATCAGCATCATCATCCTCAGTATCATCAGACTCAGCATCTTCAGCATCATCACCATAATCATCACCGTCAGCATCATCATCGGCATCGCAAGCATCATCATCATCAGGATCAGCATCATCATAATCATCATCAACAGCATCAGCATTAGCATTAGCATCAGCATCAACAGCATCAACAACAGCATCAGCATCAGCGTCATCACAATCATCGTCATCCTTCTCCTCGTCGTCCTGCTCTCATCATCACCACCCTCATCCTCAGCCTCAACCTCGCCCACATCCTCATTACCATCATGAGCCGCATCATCATAATCATCGTCATCAACATCATCATCATCATCATCATCATCATCATCATCATCATCATCATCATCGACGTCATCATCATTAGCACCAGCATCATCGTGATCATCGTCAGCATCACCAGCAGCAGTATCAGCATCATCATCATGGGCATCATCATCAGCAGCAGCATCATCACTATCATCATCAGCTGCAACAGCATCATCAGCATAGTCAGCATCCTCATCATCAACATAATCATGCTCATCATCACCATCAGCATCAGCAGCAACATCATCATGATCGTCAGCAACATCACCACCACCATCACCACCACCATCACCATCACAATCGCCATCAGCATCATCATCATCATCAGCAGCAGCATCATCATCAGCATCATCATCATCCCAGCATCAGCATCAGCTTCATCATCAGCGCCATCATCACCGTCGTTCTCGTCCTTTTCCTCCTCATCCTGCTCCTATCCTCCTTTTCTTGTTCCTTCCTCTCAGCGTGAAGGCCGCGGCCTGGAAGTGAGCAACTCCAGTCTAGTCAGGCAGCCTCCAAACCCCAGAACAGAGGATGAGGACGGGGTGGGAGGAGAGAGGAGGGATGAGCAAGAGGGGTGAGGAGGAGGAGAAGGAGGAGGAGAAGGAGGCGGAGGAGGAGGAAGAGGACAAGGAGGAGAGAGGAGGAGGGAGGGAGGGAGGAGAAGGGAGGAGGAGCTGGAGCAGCAGCAGGCAGATGAGCAATCCTTGAAAGAAAAAATAGAAAAAAAGAAAGAAAAAAGAAAAAGCAACGATAAGACTAAGAAGAAAAGAATGTGTTCCCCTCCCCCTGACCTCACTCCCCCACCTCGCAGCCCCACCCCCCCCCCGCACTCACACCCCCCCCTGCGCTCCCGCGCCCCCCACCGCCGCCAGCCGGCCCCCCCCGCCCCCAGGCACCCACGCGGCAGGGGCGCATGCCCTTCGCCGAGCCCTGCTCTGGTCTCGTCCTCCTCCTCCTCCTCCTCCTCCTCCTCCTCCTCCCCCTCCTCCCCCTCCTTCTCCTCCTCCTCCTCCTCCTCCAACCCGGCCACCCCTTTCCTTCCCTCTGAGCTGCGGCCTGCCCCGCGGGGCCAAGTCCTGAGGGAGAACGCACCCCCAGCACCGATGGCCCATGGGCCCTGCGGTGTGTTTGCACACGGCGCAGGGTGGCCGCTATGCCACGGGCCACGAACGCTTACGAACAGCTCAACAGATAGCTCTCCTCCTCCTCCTCCTCCTCCTCCTCCTCCTTCTCCTCCTCCTCCTCCTCCTCAAAACCAACGCGCAGAGTTGGAGACAGCGTGGCTCATAGTGCAGGAATGAGAGGGCACGCATCGTTCCTGCACGATTGGGAGTCACCCCTCCAGCCGAGGAGGGCAGACGCCAGTATCACGGCGGGCAGGTGGAGCCACGAGGCCTCATGTTGACAGCTAATACGCGGTCCCACAAACGGACGTGGGCGCCCACAAGCCAATCGCACTCGAACCGAACCAGACATCCTCATACGTAACACCTCTTCCTTACAAAAAAAACGTCGTCGCTCCAGCACAATTGTCGGTAGGGCGGACTGGGCGTTGCCTGGCACTTCGAACAAAGTAAACGCCTGAAGCATGATATGAGAAACCATTACATGGACAGTGAGCGGCCCATTCTCAAACTGTGACTATTTCTTTGGAGCCGCACACAACCTGAAAAGCCTGAAAGGGCTACACGTCTGGATGGTGGATGGTTTTCAAAATGTGGCTCTCGCTTGACGCAACGCACACTGACCCAAACAACTTGCAGCAATCATACGGAGGGATGGCGGCGTCTTCTAATTCAAATTGTTTGGCACATCCTGATTCCGAAAGATCCGAAAATAAAGCATTGGCGGCATCCTCACGGTGGGAAGGCGGCTTGTTCTTACGAAGGACTCGCTTCACAATCAGAAGAACACAGGATCAACAGGCTCACATTCGGAAGGCGCTTCAACATGCGACTCTCGCTTGACACCGTCTCGCGACCTATATAATCCTACATACTGGCATCACTGACAGCGAAAGCACGGAGCATGGAGGGCAGAGTATGTTTCAAAATGGGTCTCCGGAGCGGGCGTTTCCCGTGGCGAGACGGAACCCTTGCAGGGCCTTGACTTATGTGGAGGGGGGCTTAGGACGGGAGGGCATACCACAGCACCGTTGATGTTCCAGGTTTTACTCTGGCCCTCCTCTCTCCGCCTCGTCCTCCTCCTCCTCCACCTCCTCCTCCTTTCTTCCATACGTCCGCCAGCGCTGCCACGCGTGCGTACGACATCAGCTGGCTCACAACGACTCCTCCTCCCTCCCCTCCTCCTCCTCCTCCTCCTTCTCCTACTGCTGCTCTTCCTCCTCCTGCTCCTCTTCCTCCTCCTCCTCCTCCTCAGCATCATCCTCTTCTGCTCTCTAATCCACATGCTCATCCTCTCTCCCCCATCATCATTTTCCGAATGCCCTCGGCATTACATTTCAAGACCCGTCACCGCACCACATCCCCGAGTTATATGTACAACATCTTCTCAGGATCTCTGCCGCCTACAAACCTTCACAAACTACAGTGGAGTGGAAACTGTGCGGGAGGAGACTCCTTCAGAGGAAGAGGACGACAGGAGCATGACATTTTGTTTTGTTGACATTCGCTTCGGGGTGGCATTAAGCAAGGCGAGCCGATTTAGCCAGCAACCGACCTTCGGACCATGCCCAAAGCGTTGCCGATGCAAAAGCGGCTCCAACGGACCCAACACCAGAGGAAGAGAAGAGGAGGAAGAGAAAGGGGGGACAAGGCGAGAGACGGAAAGGCTGGGGATACTGGGACGCATGCCAGGAGGAGGAGGAGGCCAAGGAGGCGGAGGGGACCCCCAAAGAAGCACCCTGGTTGTCGAGACACCTGGCTACGCCTCAGCCGGACGAGGCGCAGACGCGTGCGGGGAGGCCAGGACCAGCGGGGCCGAGCGAACGAGGGCGGGCGGGCGGGACGGGCGACAAGGAGGAACGTGAACATCCTCCCCCTCCTCCTCCTCCTCCCTCCCCACTTCCTCCTCCTCCTCCTCCCTCCTCCTCCTCCTCCTCCTCCTCCTACTCCTCCTCCTCATCCTCCTCCTCCCCCTCCTCCTCCTCCTCCTCCTCCTCCTCCTCCTCCTCGTTCACGACCTCCTCCTCCCTTCCTCCTCCTCCTCCTCCTCCTCCTCCTCCTCCTCCTCCTGCTCCTTCTCCTCGTCCTCGTCCTCCTCCTCCTCCTCCTCCTCCTCCTCCTCCTCCCCTCCTCCTCCTCCTCCTCCTCCTCCTCCTCCTCCTCCTCCTCCTCCTCCTCCTCCTCCTCCTCCTCCTCCTCCTCCTCCTGCCTCCTCCTCCTCCTCCTCCTCCTCCTCCTCCTCCTCCTCCTCTCCTCCTCCTCCTCCTCCTCCTCCTCTCCTCCTCCTCACTCCCCTCCTCCTCCTCCTCCTCCTCCTCCTCCTCCTCCTCCTCCTCCTCCTCCTCCTCCTCCTCCTCCTCCTCCTCCTCCTCCTCCTCCTCCTCCGCCCCCTGGCGGGGCGGGCGACGAGGAGGCCAGGGCCGGGCGGGACGGGGCGGTACAGGCGAAGAGGAGGAGAAGGAGACAGCAGGTAGGGGCAGGGGCCAAAGATGCGAGGAACATGGGAAGGGGGGGGGGGAGGGGGAGGGAGGGGGAGCGTCGGGAGCAGCGTACAGGAGTCTCCCCCAGAGGCCCCCCCCCCGCCTGGCCCGAAGCGCCCCCAGGCAAGCTCGGGGGAAAACAAGTCCTCCCTGGACCTCCCGACGCCGCTCCCGGAGCTCTTTTCTCGTCGCGGGTCGTTTCTCGGCGGCGGGCTCAGAACGGATCCCGAGAGGCCCGGATCAGAACACACTCGCCGTCTCGACTGCTTCGTGACGGGCGGCGGCGGCGGCGGCGGCGGCGACGGCGACGGCGGCGACGACGGGCCGCAGAGCGCGGGGCCTGAGCGCGCCCACGCTTGCCGCGGCAGGACGGGGTAGGGGAAGGGGGACTTGTTCGAAGACGGTTGGCTTGTGGGGACGTGCCAACGCCCGTTTGCTGTGTCAGTGAACTTGTGGCCCACCTGCAGCACGATGAAGATGTGGGGAGGAGTGAGGAGGGAGCAGTAGAGGAGTAGGAGGTGGAGAAGCATAAGGAGGGGACGCCAAAGGGAGGATCAGGAGGAGGACGAAGAGGGGGAGCGGCAGGAGGAAGACGGCAAAGAGGCCAGGAAGAGACGCACGAGGGGGCAGAAGAGAGGGGGAAGGAGAAGCACGATGTGGCGGAGGATGAGGAAGAATACGGCGACGACGACGAGGACTGGAAATACGAAGAGGAAAACGAGGAGGAGGAGGAGGAGGAGGAGGAAGCCGACGACGAACGACGAAGAGGGAATGGCCTGCAGCTCGTCCGGCAGCCGCGTCCACCGCGGAGCGCCGCCGTCGCGCGACTGGCGCGCCCACACCTGCCAGCGCGGTTCCCGCCCCCGCTGCCGCTGCCGCTGTTGCTGCCGCTGCTGCGGGCGGTCCCAAGGCGGCCCCGAGATGGCGCCGAAGCGGCCAGGGAAGGCCCAAGGGCACCCACAGGCGTACGAGACGGTCCCCACACGTCCCAAAAGGACCCCAGTGGGTCCTCCTCCTCCTCCCCCTCCTCCTCCTCCTCCTCCTCCTCCTCCTCCTCCTCTTCATCCTTCCTCCTCCTCGTCCTCCTCCTTCTCCTCCTCCTCCTCCGCCTCCTCAGCTCCACCTCCATCCTCCTCCTCGTTTTACCCCTCGCTCCTCCTCCTCCTCCCTTTCCTCCTCCTCCTTTCCTCCTCCTCCTCCTCCTCCTCCTCCTCCTCCTCCTCCTCCTCCTCCCCTCCTCCTGCTCCTCCTCCTCCTCCTTCCTCCCCCTCCTTCTTCCCCTTTCCCTCTCCACCTCCCCCCCTTCCCCTCGCCCCCCCCCTCTCCAAGACCTTTCTCCTCCCCCTCTCCTCCTCCGTCCCCCCTTCCCCTCCTCCCCCTTCATCCCCCTCGTTCTCCTCCTCCTCCCCCTCCTCCTCGTCCTCCATCCTCCTCCTCCTCCTCCCCTCCTCCTCCTCTCCTCCTCGTCCTCGTCCTCGTCCTCGTCGTCGTGTTCGTCCTTCGTCCCCTCTTCTCCTTCTGTTCCTCCTCCTGTTCTCCTCCTCCTCCTCCTCCTCCACCTCCTCCTCCGCCTCTCCTCCTCCTCCTCCTCCTCCTCCTCCTCCTCCTCCTCCTCCTCCTCCTCCTCCTCCTCTTGTCTCTTGCCTAACTGCGCGCAAGGTTTCTTTGACAGGTGGCGCTGTGAGATCGAATTACAGCTCTGAGAAGATTACGGGCCAACGGGGGGCCAACATCCTCTGGTGGGGGGCCACGCCATGTACTCCTTTGGGGTCCCTTTCGTTCGAGGGCCTCTATTCTTCTCTTGCCATGGGTAGACAAAGGGCGATTCGTCAGGCACGGTTGGCCCAAACTCTGAAAAGATACTGCCCCCGCTCCCCCACGCACTCCGCACCAGAAAATAAAACGGAAACGCATGATCTGGTGGGTGGGTCGGGGGAGGGCGGGGGAACCTCCGCACTGAATGCCTAACCAGACGGGTGTAGGGCAGGAAGAGGATGGGGAGGTGAGACAAAGAGAGTAACGGAGCCTCCCTCTCGCGTCCTGGTGGAGCTGGCGGGAAGCCACCTCCACAGCAGCCTAAAACAACTTCCCTTCTCCCCTGCGCCCTCCGTTTGGCCTCGAGCTGCCTTTCGCTCTTGGCGCTGGCTCCGTGCAACTCAGGGGCTAGGCGCGCGACATGATAAGCTACTGCCAGGTGTGCCTGCACGGACGCTGCAAGGCTGTCAACTCTGAAAACCTCCTCCAGATCTGCCGGTGGGAGCTGCGCCACCCTCGCTCCCTCCTCCGCACGCTAGTCAGCAATGCCGTTGGCCAACCAGCTCGCTGGGGGAACCTGGGCACTCGCAGCCTCCTCCACCGTCTGGCGAGAAGAAGTGAGTTCAACGAATATCTCGCGGCCCTGGGCAAGGGCCCAACGATCACGCCAGGGGCTCCTACTTTTCTCGTGGTGCCCGATTGGCCTTTTGCGAATCCCGTCAACCACATGCTGGGTGTCAATGACGAAACGCACGGGGCCTCTGGTCCGAGACAGGACCAGAATAGCTGCACACAACTCTGCAATCGGAGCTGCCTGTTTCCAATGCTCCACAGTGCCAAACGCCCACGCTGCAACTTCCCACGTAGGATTGCACGCCCCCAACCACACCTACGAAATCGAAAATCTTCGTGGCACTTGCCACCTGACCCGTCAGTGGCCACGGTGGTGGCGCGGTCGAAACATACAAGATCCTGCTGGACGAACTCTCCACCTGCACGCGGTTCTCCCTGGATCGAGCGGGTCGCGAACGGGTGCGCCCACGACGCTGACGCAAGCCCTTCTGGCGAGAAGCAAAGGAAATCCTTAACCCCATCCCTGGCCTGGCTGGCCAGCTCGCCACGTAGCCCCTCCAGGGCCTCGTTGCCTGGGCATTCCCAGATTTGATGAAACAATGCTTCCTGGGCTGCTCCACAGCGCGGGCGAGCAGGGCCGGGCCATGCGGGGCGGCTTGGGCGACAAGCCACCTCCGAAGCGCCTTCGAGAAGGTCAACGGGCTCCGGGGGGCCCTCTGGGGGCTCTGGCCAAGTCTGCTGATCCCCCCAGCGGGCCTGCCCCAACATCTGGCCAAGAGAAACCTCATCAGATCCCCCTCATCCTCCTGATCCTCGACCCTGGCCTGCGCGGCGGCGGTGGCTTGCCGACCTGGCGACTCCAGATCTTGCGCCTGCGCTGGCTCGAGGGATGGGGCGCTCTGGGAGAGACGGATTGCGGTCGGGAGGCACAAGGGCGCGTGGCTTCATCGCCGAAGCGTCGACTCGCTGGTCACAACGCTCCAGACATGATCATCCGAAGGGTGCCTAGCTGGTCGAACCTGCCCTGCCTCCTAAGCTGCCCCATCTGACACTTACTGATGTGCAAGTCTGGGCCATGCTCTAGGCCCTTGCCCTGGTAGTGCTTGGAAGCTGCCAACCATGCCTGCTGGGCTAACGCCCCATGCATCTCAGAGTTGATTCGCTCTGAGTCACCAGTCTCAAGGATGAGATGCCCCCACCCCGGTTGATCCATCCCCAAGGCGCATCCGACGAAAACCCTACATCCTGCAGCGCTGCGACTGCGGCTGACAAGCTTCCTTTCACTCTACCCCAGCGCGATTGGGAATTGCCCAGACTCGTCCAAGCTTTCGCCAAGTAATCTGAACAGCTCGGCGTCGATCTCCCAGGAGATCTAGCAACGTGCCGATCAATTCCCGAAAAAGGCGCAAGCTGTCAAAAGCCATTGGGTCCTGGTGCGCTGAAGGGAGGACCATTCGGATCGCGATCGTCACGCAGCCCCCTTCCCTTCGACAAACCTTGCCACTCACTTGTGTTCTCAGTCTCAAAAACAAGACGGGGCCATGCCTTGGCCCCCCAGGCCTCGAGCTGCTTGCAGCAAGTACGTATCCCGTCTTCGCCAGGGAGACCGCAACCCGCGATGTTGTGACCGCTCGTTTGATCACCTGGCCCCTGTCGCGGCTCGCCTGCGCTCGCTTCTTGGATGCGCCCGCGCCCACGCGGTGCGAGGTGCCATCGACCCCCAGGTCCTTTGCGCGTTGGCTGCGCTGCAGATTTACCCTACCTTCCTGAAACCTTGCCCCGATGGCCCCGTCGACCCTGGGAGGGTTCGCAGAGACCTTGCTTTTCTCGCCGAAATGGTGAGGCCCAGGGGCGCGCGCCGTTCCACGCAAGAAACTGAACTGCAGCTGCCGTTGGTTCAAATACTACGCACGCACTCTCTCTCTCTCTCTCTCTCTCTCTCTCTCTCTCTCTCTCTCTCTCTCTCCTATGGTTGATTGCGCGGCGTCGTCCATCCAGCTCTGGACTTCGGCCGGCCTGTGCGAGGAGTGCAATTTGCTGAAATTTCACCAGGGAGCTAGCCGAGAAATGTCCGCGCTCTGCGGGCATCCAGCCAGGATCCCCTCGAAGGCCTGCAGGCGCCCCGAGACCACCCCGTTCCCTCGGCACCTTCGGGGCCCCGAGTAGAGGCTGAGAGGGAGGTGCACATGGGCGAGGGTATAGCCTACAGCCGCTCCTACCTGCCAAAGCTGCTCTGGGCCTAGTGCGTCGTAGAATTTGCCCAGGCCCCACGACAGTTCACGCGGAACAAAGCCCTGCAGAGACGCAGCCTCTAGACGAGTCTGCCAGAGGAGCGCCGCCCGCGGGCAACTGGGACCTGCCACTGCCTTGGCCCAAAACTGCGCGCGCCTTCCAGACCACTCCGCGATGCGCCACCTGCGAATGCGCGACCAGGCTCGCCGCGGGACCCGGGTTAAAGTTATGGGTCAGTCTGCCCCCGATGTTTTGTGCGTGAACTGCGCTATGTTCACTAGGGGCTGCGCTGGCCAGCAGAGGCCCCCCTCAACAAGGTCGATGAGGAAGCTGATGTGGAAAAGGCCCTCCTCGGGAAGCAGTCGCCGCCATCGCGGGTTGGCGCGGTCAGCTCCCGTGCCTATGACTGGCCGAAAACATTTGAGCCACCCCGGGACTTCCTCGCATGTAATGGGGTCGAGGGTCAGGCTGTGTTGCTCGGCTGCTCGGCGGAAGTCCTTCCGCCGGGCCTGCGCTCGTGGGGGGCATCTGCCCTTGCCCCGGCACTGCAGCCAAAACTGGCCATTGGATTCTGACATTCTGGAGCGGGCCCGAGAAGGGCTGGCCATCCGAGTCTCGAGCCTTGGACAGCTCCAGCTCGTTGGGCCCCCCCAGAGCTTCGCGCGCCGATGGACAGCCCCCGCTCCTTTTTTCAAACTGGCCCGGGCCCGTTCCTTGAAACATATGGGGCTCTCATGGAGGAGACGGGGCTCGAGGCGACGCGCAGCTGCGTCGACCTTTCGCGACCACAGCGGCAGCTGCCCCTCGCCGAGGCCTCCAGGAATCCCCGGATCCCCCTGGAGCTTGCTGGCGAGGGCTTGACCTGATGCATCCATCAAATCTGCTGGCCGCCCATGCAGCTCACCGACTGAGGTAGTTAATTGCCTCCACCGCCCCCGCCGCCAAACCCGCCCCCCTTCCTCCTCGGGCCCACCGGTGCGTGAAATCGCGCTTGCAGGCCCGACCTCCGAGAGCGCGCTAGCACTGGCTAGCCAACCTGTGGGTTTAGCGGCTAAGACTGGCACGAGACAGGTCCCAGCGTAAAAACCTGAAAGCATCGGGGGCAGGCCTGGAGTCAGGCTGCCCGTCGAGGGGCAGATCCTCAGCCGCCAGCGAGGACTCCAAGTACACAGGGTCCGCGAAACCCGCCTGCTTGTCGCTCAGCATCTGGCGTTCCATACCCTGCGCAACTCCGCCCTGCGCCGCCTGGGCGCGGCGGATCCATGGTCGGTCGGGCCCCGCTGTTTCCGCCAACGGCGCAGGCTGGGCCAGGATCCCTTGCGCGACGAGCTCTGGCGCACACAGCAATTCCCCAATGATGCCGTAATGCGCGGCGGCCCAGGGCCCTGCTCCATCCCATCGCAGTTCGACCGGTCCACCTATCTTCTCTGAGACCAGGCAATAATCGATCACTCGATGTCCTCCTGGCTGCGGCTCATGCGGCTCGCGCCGCACTCCGCCCAGAAACGTGGTCAGGTGTAAAGGCTCCATATCCGTCTCAACCATGCTCCAGTTTGCCATGATAACAAAGGGGTGGCCCTTCGCCTCGACGTACGACGCCATGCTGTGGGTGGTGTCAATGCTGAGTCCATCCAACTCCAACTGCCAAACACATCGAAACGAATAAATAGCCAATCATTGCGTTCTGACCGGTATCGACGTCCATTGCAATGCGTCCTTTCCGTATTGAAGCGCCCCTCTCCAGGCGAGCTGCCTCTGCGCCTGGAGCCGCGCCCAACCATGTCCTCGAACTCCCTGGCCTGCCGTCGCCGCAGCAGAAATGGCCTTGGTGGCCCAGCCCAGTTTGGAGATCTTCTTCTTCTTTGCCTCGTTCAGTCGCTCCCCTGCCAAGTGATGTTCTGCCAATCCGATGCTATGAGCCGTGTGCACCAGGCTGTCTTCACGCTTGAGGTAACTGAGGCCCTTCTCGCTCCAGCTCGTGATGTTGCTGAAATAGAAAGTCAGTGTCGGCGAAGTCCCTGTGCCCTTTTCTCCGTTGCTAGGCGGAGTGAGTTTGGCCGTGGTACCACTCGTGGTAACTGGCCTGTTTTGGCTCTCAGCGTCCCTGTGTCGGGGCGGAGCCCTGGTCCTCGGAGCAGGGCCTCTTGGATGCTCTGGAGCCAGTGCTGCCTACTCGGGCTGCCTACGCCCCTCGGCGTCCACGAGGCCCTGTACTGGGAGGATGTAGGAGACCACTTTTTGCCGCCGTAGACGCTTCGCTTGTTCCTGAAACAATGCGACCATGTTAGTTCCTCGTTGTTCCTCTGAAGCCTCTGAGCCCCAGGTGGACATGAGCTCCCTCGCGCGCTTGTTGGTACCACTCTCATCGAAGGAGCCGGGATCCCCCATGCGCTTGTTTCCATCCTGATCGCCATCGCCGCCATCAGCAGAAATAGGGCCCCCAGGATGAGGCTGCTGGCCGGCGGCGGGAGCCTGTGCCTGCGACTGGAAACTCCTAAGCTTGTCCATTGACGACTTGATGGCCTCTCCATCCTGTTCTTCACGCTGCTCTCCTCCTTCGCCTGGTGTGATGAGCTTGCCGACCAACTCCGCCAGCTTGCCCAGTTCGGCCCAGACCTCTTGAGGGGCCTGTGCCTGGGGAGGCCCCACTGGTCATGCTCCCATCCGCTGGGCTGCTTCACGGCGGGCGTCCTCGAGCTCCTTCTCCGCCTCGCGCAAAGCATCGTGGGCCTCCATGCGCTCCAGGGCGGCCTGCTTCGCTGCCTCCTCAGCGCTGCCGACGCGCTGGTTGGCCTGTAACACCTTGTTTTGGGACTTGGCGACCTGCGGTGGCAGATCGTTATGGACTCGCGGGTCCCGCATGCCAGCTGCGCGAAGGCGCCGACGATAGATCAGCTTGTCGCGTTGGCTCTGGGACAAGCAGCCTGCCCCAATATGGAACTCCTTCTCGCACAGATTGAGCCGTAACTCCATCTGCTGCTCGTCCAGGTGAGGGGGTCCCGCCTGTCCACCAGCGTTATTGTCTTTGGAGCTGCCGAAACCTTACCGCGCTCGCTCATGACATGGCAACCCGCGGAGGCGTTGGGGGCGGTCCCACTCTCCTTGAGGCTGCGACGGCCAGGCGAGGGCTGGCATCTGTCCATGATTCAGGTTGTATCCGCCACAGTGGAAACACTGACGCTTGTTCGCACGGTTCCACGCCTTGCGCTGACGACATCCCTAGCCCACCATGCCACGTGGTGTCTGGGGACCATGTCCAATGAAATCTCTTGAGGAGGAATGATTGCGGGTGGGGTCGCGAACCTCTGGCCACGATCGCTCCTGGGAACAAATCCTGACTTTCCTCAAATGCTCGAGCCGAAGTTGGAAGTCAAGGAGAAGGCCCCTTGAGCCAAAATGGCTACGGCCTCCTCCTCCTCCTCCTCCTCCTCCTCCTCCTCTACCTCCTCCTCCTCCTCCTCCCCCTCCTCCTCCTCCTCTGCCTCCTCCTCCTCCTCCGCCTCCGCCTCCGCCTCCGCCCCCTGCTCCTCCTCCTCCTCCTCCTCCTTCTCCTCCTCCTCCTCCTCCTCCTCCCCCTCCTCCTCCTCCTCCTCCTCCTCCTCCTCCTCCTCCTCCTTCCCTCATTCTCCTCCTCCTCCTCCTCCTCAACCGCCCCTGGGACTCTCACATCGTCAAAAATCATGGCCAAAGCGCCGGACCCCATCTTTCTGCGCCGTGCTTTGAGCTGGGTCGATCCGCGAGGGTCCCAGGGACAGAAACTGGGCGAAACGCCCAGCTCAAAAAATAAGACGCCAAGATCTCAGGGATCGTCCCGCTCGGGAGCCTGCGGCACCACAATTAGGTCGGCATGTCCTCCTACAGGCGGATGTTGGAAGAAAAAGAAAAAATAGTCAAGAAATACTCCAGAGTAGTCCAAAATAGTCAACAATCGTCCCCAGACTATGCTTTGACTATGTTTGGATACTCCTCCTGTAGAGGGACGTGCCCGACTTAACACTACAGGAGCAAGAGCAGCACGACCTGGGCTATGCTTCCACGGGCATCCGCTGCGGGGGGCGCGCCCTCAGAGCCGCCCGGGCCCGCCACGTCCAGGGGGCGGCAGGGAACGAGGAGCCTGGCAGCAGGGAGCCAGGAGGAGCAGTCGAGGAGGGCGGCGGGGGAGGAGGAGGAGGAGAAGGAGGAGGAGGAGGAGGAGGAGGGGGGAGAGGAGGAATACTCACAATACCTATACGACCGCCTTTCGGGTGATAAGGAGGTTGTGGGTGGGGAGAGGGGGGAAACGAACATCTGACTCAATCGATCTCACTATCGATCTCACTCAACGAGGCACCACGAGACACCACGGGACACCCCAGGACACTTGTCGATTTCACGATCGATCTCACTATCGATCTCACTCAACGGGACACCACGGGACACCACGGGACACCGCGGGACACCGCTCGATCTCACTATCGGTCGCACTATCGATCTCACTATCGATCCCACTCATCGGGAAACCACGGGACACCTCGGGACACCTCTCGATCTAACTATCGATCTCAATATCTATCTCATTGTTTGGGACACCACGGGACACCACATTGATCTCAATATCGATCTCAGTATCGACCTCTGTATCGATCTCACTATCGATCTCACTCAACAGGACACCACGGGACACCACGGGACACCGCGGGACACCGCGAGCCACCGCCGGACGGACGGACGGACGGGCGGGCGGGGGAGAATCATTTGTCTTGACCTCTCCCTAGCAACGGCGGACACCACGGGACACCACGGGACACCACGGGACACCACGGTACGCCGCGGGACACCGCGAGCCACCGCCAGACGGGCGGACGGAGGATAATCATTTGTCTTGACTTCGCCCTAGCAACGGCGGGTTCATTCCTCTCGCGCGCCCACGCAGCTTCGCCTCGCCCGCACGCACGACACGAACGAAACGAAACTATTTCCCGGTTGGAGGTCTCCGTTCCACTGCGATCTCACCCCCCAACCTCCAACAATGACGAAGACGCGGAATGGAGGGAGGCGGAGGAGGCGGCGGAGGAGGCGGAGGAGGCGGAGGAGGAGGAGGAGGAGGCAGCGGCGAAGACCACCCCGGGAGCAGTTGAAGCGGCCGGGTGAGCGGCCAGGAGCGGCGAGGAAGGGCCAGCAGCAGCAGCGGCGGCAGGGGGGCGGGCGGCACCCGCTGCACCCGGAAGGTGGCCCCTGGCAGGTGTGCCCTCTGGTGCGCGGCGTGCGGGGGCCGCGGGGAGGCCCAGTCCAAGCGAGCAGGCCACCTGCTGCAGTAGGGAACCGACCACAAGAAACCTTCCCCAAGAAACCCAACCTTGAGACCCTAGGACGTCCATTGATTTTTGGTGTCGGAGCGTCACGCTTCCCATAGCACATCCATCGAAACCCAAGAAACCCAGGGCACCCTGGAGGCAAGCAAGGTGTTTCTTGGCATGGGCCCCCACACGCGGTGCAGGCACAAGCTCGTGCCTATCGTGTCTGGGCACAAAACTGCGAATCCGATACAGATCACAGCAACACTGCGGCGACCGCGGGCCGAATCGTGACCGAGACCTGGGCTCCGCCCAGCTGGTGCCAGGCTTCGCTGCGTGTGGTTCTTCCCATCGGCAGCCGCGTCCAAGACGGTCCTCCTCCGCCCATGGGCCCCCGCTGTATGGGGCACCCCCCTTGCGAGCCCACGCCAGAAATCACTCCGCCGAGACGAAGGGGCACCCCTTCACGCAGCCGACGACAGGAGCAGACGGCGGCGGGGGGGCAGGGCAAGCCGCCCGCGGCGGCCCGCGGAGGCCTCCCAGACCGGGTTGAGGTGTTCTCCGCCCTCGGACATCAGAAGTAGCAGGGGGTCGCTCTGCACCCTGCGCGAGAAGGGTCATGCCTGCCATCCCTCGCTACCCGCCCTCGCACCACCTTCCACACACACACACACACCGGCACCCCTGCCTCCCATCGCTCCTTCCCTCTTCCTCCTCCTCCCTCCAGTCTCCCCCTCCCCACCCCTCCTCCTCTTCCTCCTCTTCCTCTTCCTCCCCCTCCTTCTCCTCCTCCTCCTCCTGCTCCTCATGGTTCTGGTCCTGGTCCTAGTCCTGGTTGTCCTCCTCCTCCTCCTCCTCCTCCTGAACCTCCTCCTCATCCTCTTCCGCCTCCTTCTCCTTCTCCAACTCCACTTTCTCCCCTCCCGACCTCTTTTCCTTCATGTGATACCCAGCTCGGTGCCGTCTCCGTCATCTCGCCCATCTGGGGCCCCATCAGCATGGTCTCAATGAAAGTACGTCCGTGTACAACGCGCTTAACCCCAAAGTGCGATGACCCAGCGGAATTGCGCGAGGGACAAGGAGTGCAAGAGAGATGAGAGTCGATGTGGAGAATGGCGACGACGATGGCCGGGGAAAGGGCGGGGAAGGTATGCGCAGGGGGGGCAGGAGGGAGGCGGAGGAGAGCGGGCAGGAGAGAGGGGACGGAGGTGAGAAGAGAGCGGAGGCAGAGGAAGTGGTGGGAGGGAACACTTGCCATCGCTCGGACGTCCATTGCCCGTGCATTTGTCGGTGTCGTGCGTGTTTCTTTGGATGCTCCTCGATGGGCATCGCCGAGAAAAAATGCACACGTCCGAGCGATGCCAAGGGAAGGAGCGCTTTGGAGGACGGAGAATGAAGGGAGGGGCACGAGCGGGGTGGGGGGGAGTGGCTGGAGGCAGTACAAAAGTCGTCCGAGCTTCGCAGCGGAAGCTCACGAGGGAGATCCCCAGGGGAACGGCGGTGGTCTATGGCCTGTCCCCCCCCAAACCCAGGCCTCGCGAGATGGAATGATGGTAATGCGAGACTGAAGAGAGGATGGCAGCGGAGGGAGAAAGACCTCGTCGGCAGATACAAGGGATAGTGGAGAAGGGTGCAAAGGAAGAGGAGGAAAAAGAAAAGGATAATCGAGGAGACAGGAGGTAGGGAGTAGGGATTTCGCCTCTGCCCACCACGCGGGATTGCCGCACACATCCAACCCCCTCTGACCTAGCTTCACGAAGACGCGTCCGACCATTAGCGAGGGGTGGAGGGTAGGGCATCGAAGCAGGAGAGAGGGGGGAGGACAGAGGAGAGAGGGAGGGCGTGAAGAGGAGGGAGGCGAAGGGAGGACGGAGGGGAGAGAGGGAAGATGGCATGAGGTGAGGAGAGGAGGGAGGAGGAAGGGAGGACGCAAGGGAGGGAGAAGGTCAGCGAGGGAGGAGGGAGGGAGGACGTGAGGAAGGAGGACGTGAGGAAATCGCATGGGAGGACGAGGGCTGGAGGAGCGAAGGAGAAAGGAGGACCCCGCGAGGGAGACCGGCCAGGACTCGCGGCGGCGAGAGAGCAAAGTCCTGGCGCCCTTCGAGGTCTTGGCCTCTGGGACGGCCTTCGGAGAGGCCACCTGGGCCATCACGGGTAAACGCGTCGCCTCCTCCTCCAGCTCCTCCAGCCCACCATGATCATCATCCTCCTCATACTGTTCATGCTGTTGCACTCCTCCGGCACATCTTCCTCCTGTCGAGGGAGACGCAAGACTCCGATTCGGGGAGCTCGGGTTGGCCTGACGGGGCCACCATGAAAATGACGAGACCCAGTCTGAAAATTGACGCGAACTCCCGCTGCAGACATCCCACGAAAACTGGACCGTCAAAATCCAGGACGCGCTTGTCAAACAGCGTTTCCCAATCCTGCTCCTTCTCGTCCTCATCATTGTCCCTCCTCGTCCTCCTCCTCCTCCTCCTCCTCCTCCTCCTGCTCGGGTTTCTGATCCTGCTCCTCCTTCTGTCTGTTCATGCGTATGCTCCTGCTCCCGTGCTGCCTCCTCCTGCTCCTCCTCCTCCTCATCCTCCTCACCACCACCACCATCTACCACCATCACCACCACCACCACCACCACCACCACCACCACCACCACCACCACCACCATCATCATCATCATCATCATCATCATCATCATCATCATCATCATCATCTCATCATCATCATCATCAGCATCAGCATCAGCATCAGCATCATCATCATCATCATCATCATCATCATCATCACCACCATCATCATCATCATCAATCATCATCATCATCATCATCATCATCATCATCACCATCACCATCACCATCATCATCATCATCATAATCATCATCACATCATCATCATCATCATCATCATCATCATCATCGTCATCGTCATCGTCATCGTCATCGTCATCGTCATCATCATCATCATCATCATCATCATCATCATCATCGTCATCATCATCATCATCATCATCGTCATCGTCATCGTCATCGTCATGATCATCATCATCATCACCATCATCATCATCATCATCGGCAGCAGCATCATCATCAGCATCGTCACCATCATCATCATCACCATCATCAGCATCGTCATCATCCTCAGCATCATCATCACCACCACCACCATCATCATCATCCTCATCGTCATCCTCATCCTCATCCTCATCCTAATCCTCATCATCAACATCATTATCATCATCATCATCAGCAGCATAATCGTCATCATCACTACCATCATCATCAGCATCATCATCACAATCATCATGATGATCATCATCATCATCATCATCACCCTTGTCGTCGACATCATTATCATTATCAGCATCATCATCGTCGTCCTCCTCATCATCATCATAATCATCATCGCAATCATCAGCATAATCATAATCATCATCATTTTCAGCATCAGCATCATCCTCATCACCATCACCACCATCAGCAGCATCGCCATCATCATCGTCGCCATCATCATCATCACCATCAGCATCACCATCGTCATCATCATCATCACCATCATTAGCAACAGCAGAAGCAGGAGTATCATAATCGGCATCATCATAATCATCATCAGCATCAGTATCATGATCATCATCCGCATCATCACCATTCGCATCATCATAAGCAACATCATCACCATGATCATCGTCCGCAGCTTCACCAGCATCAGCATCATCATCATCATTCGCATCAGCAACAGTATGATCGTCAACATCATCATCATCATCATCATCATCAGCCGCATCATCATCGTCATCAGCATCATCACCACCACCATCATCATCACCATCATCAGCACCAGCATCATCAGCATCAGCATCGGCACCATCAACATCCCCATCCAACGCATCATCAGCAGCAGCAGCAGCAGTCACAACATAATCAGCACTTACATCAGCATCAGCAACATAATCAGCTCCGTTCTAATCCTCCACATCATCCCCATCCTCAACCTCATCATCATACTCATCATCATCATCATGATCATGATCATCATCAGCATCATCATCATCACCACCATCGTCATCATCATCTTTATCATCATCGCCATCCCCATCCCCATCCCCATCCCCATCATCATCCCCATCATGATCACCATTCATCATCATCATGACCACCATCATCATCATCAGCAGCATCATCATCATCATCTTAATCGCCATCACCATCGCCATCATCATCACCATCATCATCATCATCGTCATCATCATTATGATCTTATTCAGCACCAGCATCATCATCATTACCACCATTACCAGCATCATCATCACTACCATCACCATCATCACCATCATCATCAGCAGCATCATCACCATCATCATCATCATCGTCGTCGTCATCGTCCTCGTCCTCATCCTCGTCCTTCCCCTCCTCACCTCCCTCCCTTGCCTCCTCATTCCCCCCCCTCCCTCTCCTCCCTCCTGCGGAAGCATAAAGATTCAAATGCCGCTTCTCCCCAGACCCCTCCCAGGGCGCCTTCTGACAAGGACGTTGAGGCGAACCTGGCCGTTGCGACGCTGGACGGCTGGCGGCATCGGCATCTCCTACCCTCTGGACCTCCACCCACCATGGAGGGGGGAAGGGGGCGACCAGCTTCGCTGGGTGAAGCAGATCGAGCCGGATTCGGCAACACTTCGCCGACACATCTGCGATGCGCACCCGATTGCGAAGCCGCTCTCTCCTGGGCAGGGTGTGATACAAGACCCCCCTCGGCGGCGACCAGTCGGCGATCGGCGGGTGAAGGCTTCCCCCCATGAGCCGATCCCAACTCGAAGGCTGTCCCAGACCAGCGCTAAGGCTGTCTACGCAGACGACAACGGCGACGACAACGACGACGACGACGACGACGGCAATGACGACGACTTGGACGTGGCCGGGGGTTTAGAACTGGTTGGGACCTTAGAAGAAAAGCGGTCAGGGGAGGGGGGATGACCAAATCTGGTCAAAGTCGGTCCCCCGACCCGTCCTGGGGTCCATGCAGGTTTTCGCCCTGGATCCGCTTCTGACGGTCGTGGGGCCCGAAAACAGCCCCAGGAGGCCGAAAAAGGCAAGCACAACTTCTGGAACACACCACCTCGAATCGCTTCCCTCCCCACCTGCTGGCTGGTACACGTGCTGGGCCACCTCAGACCCCCAGCCCGCTCCAAACTAACTACAACGACGACGACGTCGACAACGACGACGACGACGACGACGACGACGACGATGACGGCGACGACGACGACGACGACGACGACGACGGCGACGGCGGCGGCGGCGGCGACGAGGCCCGCCAGGCGCAGCGAGATGGGCACGTGCGACGGCAGGGCGGCCTGCAGCCGCGAGGCCACCACGCCCGCGGACAGCACCACCTCGGCACCAACGGCTGCTCCGGTGATGGGCCTGTTGTCCACCACCACCACCATGAGTTAGAGGGGGAGGGGATCCTCCTCCTCCTCCACCTCCTCCTCCTCCTCCTCCTCTCCGTCCTCCTCCTCGTCCTCCACCTCCTTCCCCCCTCCAGCTTATGGTGGTGGTGGTGGAAAACAAGCCAATCACCGGGGGCACGGCCCCGCGCTGCCCACGGCGCCCCTGCGCTGCCCTGCGGGCACCGCCAGGGGTGCGGCGCTCGGCGCCCAGCCAGCGAGGCCATCCCTCGGAAAACCGGATCGAATCGCTTGCAACGAACCCAATCGGAACATCGGAAAATCGGAGGATCAGCCAGCAGTGATTCGGAAAATCGGATCGAATCGCATGTAAGCCGAATCGGGTCGCATTGGCACGACAAGAAACGGATCTTGCGCGAGCTGGCATGGCGACCATGCGCCAGCCACGGCTTACGCGGGCCGCCAGCGCAGCACGCTACTCTGGAAGCGAAGGCGCTTACGCGCGACCTTACGCGGGCATCCACCTCCTCCTCTTCTCCCGCGACCTCCATCACCTCCTCCTTCTCTTCCTCTACCTCCAAATCCTCCTCCTCCTCCTCCTCATCATCATCATAATCCTCCTCCGCATCTTCCTTCTTCTCCTCATCCTCCTCATCATCATCCTCGTCATCATCATCATCATCATCATTATTATCATCATCATCATCATCATCATCATCATCATCATCATCATCATCATCATCATCATCATCATCATCATCATCATCAGCATCATCATCATCATCATCATCATCATCATCATCATCATCATCATCATCATCATCATCATCAACATCAACATCAACATCAACATCAACAACATCACCACCAACATCAGAAACATCATCATCAGCAGCATCACCATCATTATCATCACCATCTTCATCATCATCATCATCATCATCATCAGCATCATCATCATCACCATCAGCATCGCCAACATCATCCTCATCCTCGTCCTCATCCTCATCCTCGTCCTCGTCCTCATCATCATCATCATCCTCATCCGCATCATCATCATCGTCGTCGTCGTCGACATCATCATCAGCAGCATCATAATCTTCATCATCAAAATCGGCATCACACATTTGATCAACATCATGATCGGCAGCCTCGGCATCAGCATCACCATCATCATCATCAAAATCATCATAATCATCATCATCATCATCATCATCATCAGCATCATCATCATACTCATACTCATCATCACTATCATCATCATCGTCACCATCCCCGTCCCCGACCTCATCCTCATCATCACGATGCTCATCATTGTCGCCATCCCAATCCTTCCATCTTCCTACTCATGATCATCCCCATCATCATCAACATCACCGTCATCACCATCAGCATCGTTCTCGTCATCACCATCGTCATCATCATCACCATCATCATCATCATCATCATTATCATCATAATCATCAGCATCATCATGATCAGCATCATCATCAGCAGCATCCTCATCATCCTCCTCTCAAAACCATCGTCATCGTCATCGTCACCATCATCAACACCAACATCACAAACAACTGCCACCAGCACCGTCATCAGCCTCATCATAAACATCATCAGCATCATCATCCTCACCATCAGAGACCCTCTTTCCGTGGCAGGCTATATAACCGAAGTGTGGTGCGTCAGAGCGTCGATTGGGGGCCTAGTCCTGGAAGGCCAGAGCTCCTCGGCAGCCTCGGGCAGGGGGCGGAAAGTACACAGGCTCGGTCTCGAGGGGAAGACGGAAGGAATCTTGCGGCGCAATTGTGCCTTTCAATCAACAGCCACGAAAGCGGCAACGTATGATGTGAGACCTTCTTTCCGAACCAGGCTATACACGAGCGGTCGCGAAGCCCCATATGATGATTCCGAATCGTCACCTTAAGGAACACGTCGAGAGCCACGAGCCCGCTGGGGCCTGCCAGGGGGGGCGACCGAAGCCTCCGCGAAGGCCCGCGCCTCCCCGGGGCGCAGGTGGCCCGCGAACGTCGTCAGGGAGGCCAGCGCCTCGAGGGGGTGCTCTAGCTTGACGCGGTGCTGCGCGATCAGGCGAAGGCGAGGCCGCGGGGACGAGCTGCCTCCTGCCGCGCATCGCGCGCGGCATCCTCGAGTGTGCGCGCCGCCCCCGCGGGCCGAAACTCGGCCAATAGAAGACCCGCGCCGCGTGAACTTTCTCGATTTCCGCGGCCACGGCGCCACCCTTCCAGAGCGAGTCGGCGCGCGCGGCCAGCGCCGCGCCGGTCTGGGCTGGCGTGGACAACTCGAGCGACTTCATCGTCGCGATGGTTTGGAATTCGCACAGCCGCTTGCCGCAATCCCCCCCTTGCGGTCTTGCTGATCGAGGTTGCCTCCAGGAAGGTCAGGGCCGCAGAGACGCTCGACCTCGGCGGAGCACGGGATGCCTGGCGCCCCGCCCGAGCGTCGCCTCCAAATGGCCTCCGTGGCGGCGCGGCCCGGCGGCCGCGCCTCGGCAGGGCCGCGACTGCGCCCCGGCAGACGGCCAGGCCGGCTGGGCGCTGCGCCAGCGGCTGTCTGCGGCCCAGAGGCACGACCCCGCGTCGGCCCTGCCCCTCTCAGAAGGCGCCCAGCGATGCAGAGTGGCTTCGCCTGAGTCAGCGCGCAAGAGCGCCATCCTCCTCCAGTCCGATCTCCTTCGAGACCTCGCGTCTCGGCGGCGGTCGCCGCTTCTCCCACCAGGCTCGAGTCGCGCGCGCCAACGGCGGCGCAGGGCGGCCCCCGCGCGCCCGCGTGAAGAGCGGACCCCAAAGACTGAGGGCCCCCGCGCCGCGGCAGCCCCGAGTCCGGCAGGCCCGCCGACGGCCGCGGCGACGATGGCGCAGCACCTGCGGAACACTGACATGAGACAAGGCCCGATGACCATCTCGAACTGGTGCGACGTTACTTCGGGGCGCCTCTCGAGACGCCGGAGGCCGCCCCCAGTCGAGCTGGCCTCGGCCCAGCGTCGCCATCGATCTCCCCGACAGGCGTCGCGGCGAATGCGGGCGCGGCGGTGGCCTCGTGGACCTCGAAGTCGTCCTCGACGATCTGCGCCTCGACCTCGCTGCCATTCGGCCACTTCCCCGGATGTCCGGGCAACGCCGACGTTGCGCCGTTTGGCCAGCGCGGCGGGCGCCCCGCCAGAAATGCCGGAGACGGGGCCGCGGTCGGCGAACGGCGCGGACAGCTCGGCGCCGAGCGGCGCCCAGCTGGGCTCGCCGCGAGGCGACGCGTTGCGCCAGGTAGCGGGCCCAGCGCCAGTCAGCATCGGCCAGGCCCAGGCCCTCGAATGGCGGGGGCGCTCCGGCCAGCGGCTCGCCGACGCCCCCGGCGAACTCGGCCTGGCAGCGGGCGGGCGGGGGAAGGGCATCATCAGCGCGGGCAAGTTCAACTCATGGCGACGAGGTTTCTGACGAAGAGCTTCTCGCGAGCGCTGGGCGCCCCCCAGGGGCGCGCGCGCCCAGGGCCCTTCAGCAGCCCCAGCCTGCCCCGCGAGGCCCCCGTTCCTATATTGCCCGGGAAATCGCCTTCGGAAGATGCGCCGACTCGGGGCCCTCGCGTCGAGAAACGGGGGCGGCGAAACCCACGCAGATCCACCGCCCCCTGGCCACGGGGATGGGCCTGGGCCCCTCCAGAGACCGGCGGCGGCGCATGCGCCGCGCCCCAGGCATGGCCAGGAGGGCGCGCGCGCGGCCGCCGGGCCTGGGAAGGCCGGGGAAGGGCCCGGCCCGGGGGCGGCAGCGAATGCGCGCGAAGGTTCGCGCCCACGAAAAATCAAGCCACCCAGTCCTTGGGCCCCGCGGCGAAGCCGATGGGGCCAGGCATGCAGGTCTGGCGTCGACGCGCGCGGGCGACGCCCCCCCCCCATCCCGAGTTCCGCCGGAAACGCATGGCCGCCCAAGAAAGGGGAGGGAAGTCTGCGACGCGCAGCGGGGAAGGCGAATATTCGGACGCACCCCCATGGAGGACGGGCGCCTTCTCATCGCACATCTATGGGTCGGGTCTCGAAGTTCTGGCCCATTCGATATCCCGCGACCCCTAGGCGAAGGGTCGACGCATCCTCTCATGGACGTCAACTCCCTGGCCCCGCTCGCTCTGATCCGCGCGGTTTCGCCCTGCCCCCCCGCGCCTCGCGCCCGACGGGGCCGAGCGCATCGGCGAGGCCTGGCGTCGCGCCCGGCCTCAGGGCGTCGGCGAGCGACCCGTCGCGGGCTCGCGCGGGACGCGCGGCCCCTCGTTGCGCGGGAAGCGGAGCCACGGCAGCGCCCCCGCGCCTGCTCGAGGAGAGGTATGCATCGCTGCGCGGGGCGCGCAGTCGAGCAGCGAGTCGAAGCTGGTGACGGGCGTCGCGATTGGCGGCGTGCGCCACCCCCCCTCGCCCTCCTGAGCACGCCGGGGCTCGCCTGGGGCATTCAGGGCGCTGCCTGCGGCAAGGGAAAAATATAGCTGACGCCCGTCAAGCAGCGGCCGTCGCCCAGCCGCGTGACTGCGCGAGGAACGACCGCCAACGTGGCCTGGGGCGCGCGCCGGCGGGTCGACCAGGCCCCCCCCGCGGAGTCGAAGCTCCTCAGCCCCGAGCGCCCGCGCATCCCCCCCTGGGCCCCGCCACCGCCCTCGGGGTTGGTTTTGCCGCAGCGCCGTCGGAGATCCTCGCGAGCCTCGCGCTGCCCCCCCGCCGCCCCCGCTTGGCAATTGACCAGATCCGCGACGGGGCGCCCGAGGCCTGGCGCGACCGCGACACCCCCTGCTCGACGTGCCCACCTCATGTAGTGGTCGGCCGACCCGTAGTCTGGCGCGGATTGGCTGGGTTGGCGAGCGCCCTCTGTCAGCTGGAGCCTCCTAGCGATGAGCTCGCCGACTGCAGGCGACGTGCGTTGAGCTGGTCGACGACCGGGATCACGCACAGAAGGACATAGGGAACGCGGCGCGTTCGTGAAGTGACCCGTCTTCTGCTGAGACGCGCGAAGGCCGAGCCCACTCGTCGCGATGGCGGAGTGGCGCGATGCCTCCGCCCTGCCACCG